AGTACCTAGTACAGGGTCCCCACCTGATATGCTAAAGTGCAAGTGCTGAATGGTTTGCAACTGTCGGAGACTCGACTCTCCACAAGCCACAAAATATATAAGAACAAAATATAATCTAAGTACTAAACTTAAACTGAAAAACTCGAATCTTATTATCTGATCTGACTAGGTTCGCTCACTCGACTTTAAAAATATTTTAGGGATTTACGCGCTGATTTTGAAAATTTATTGTCTTTGAGGCATACTAAAGTTCTCTGAAATATTTCTAAGTCTGGACTATATTCTAAAAAAAATTAAATCTGACTGGGCTATAATCTAACTAGAATTAAGTCTATCTAGAATTAAATATGATTGAAATTTATATGAAATATATTTGGCCTTTAAATCTATCTGAAATTTCTCGAAACGTCCGGATTGCCCGAACTGATCCGGCTGAACTGAAATTCTCTTTGAACCGTCTGGTGACCGCGCGTCGCTACGCGGCAAATTTATATTTATAAAAATTTTCCTCGACTTACCCCTACTAACTAGTAGCAGTGGCGAGTAAGGGTCGATCCCACAGGGAGTGTGGTATAAATCATGATTTTATTATATTAATTAGATTAAAGAGAAAATGGGGGGTTTTGATTTAAAACGAAATAACTAACGAAACAAGAAATTAAACTAGAACTAGAGATAGATGATTAAAATGCAAAGATGATGAAATTTAAAATAAATAATTAATCTAGCAAATATGAGAATGGAATCGGTTCCAGGTCGGTCTACACCCTCAATTAACTAGTCCAATTAATACATTTATCAAGTTTCACTCGTCTTCTGAAACTACCGGTCCTAGATAGCAATAAGCTCTGCTACCCGAATTCTCCCTTAATTATACTTAATCGAAATAGGCTCTTCAATTAATTCTAACTAGTGAATAACTCGGAATAAGCTCTCCTAATTTAATCCACTAGTTGCATTGGAATCTAGGAAAATAGACCGATCTAAGCCACAAACACACAAGCTCGGTTCATGTAACTTATGTTGTGTTATCCCTAACAATGCACGACTGTTAGCTGCTACAAGCGAAATAAGAACTACGACAATTACACGGATCGAAGTCTTAAATCTAGCAATTAACATGCAATCCTCAACTTAGGTGATCAAGCTAAATTAAAGAACACATATTATGACATGAAACTAGAATAACACAATCAATTTTATACGACGAGTAAAACAAAATAAAATTACATTAATCAAACATAGTCATCGAGGGTTCAACGTCCCTAGAACCGAAATAATGTTTAGCTACTCATAGCTAAACGATAAAAATAAAAATAATAATCCATATTCTTCTCCAAATGAAATAAAATACTGCAAATAAAATAAATAAATCAAACTCCTTTTAGTTCCGAGTGATCCACGGCTAGCAAGAAACACAGAATGGAACTTGTTCTCCTGCCCAGTCTTCACGTCCTCCAAGTCCCAGTAAGATGATAATAATTCACTGCCTTCTTTTATTTTTGCCACCAGGATTAGGATCCAAAAGTCCCACAAACTTCCAATTCCAATCATTTTTGAGAGCCTCATGCTACGTGTATTTGGCCAAATTAAGTTGTAGTCCTCTCATTATTTAATTAGCCACCTCATCATTGCCACATCTCAAATAGCCATATCATCAAATAGACTTTAAACTGCAAAATAGACACAAAATCCGAATATTGGTGTATGTTCGTTCACAAAATAAAATACATGAGAAAACTTGAATAAAACAATAAAATCAATTACTCAAATATATAAATAAAACCACAAAATAGTACAAGTTTTCTCACTTATCATCTGGACTATCGGGACAACTTCGACTGAACTGGACCATAGGCTCACTCAGAGTCGGTTGATCATTCTCTTCACTATGTGCAACTCGATTTGACCGTGGTCCGGGTTCGACGTGGCAGCTCGGGCTGACACGAACTCGACTGACACGGCTTAGCCGATGTACGAGTTTGAAACGGTGCCACGACTATTGATGCAGGGATGTGCTTGGACCACGGCTAACGAAAATGGCGTGTAGACGGTGGATCGAATGAACTCGGTGCAGTGGCACGCACTCGGCGGTTGGACTCGGACTCAGTGCACGGGCATGCACTTGGTGGTTCAGTTCCAACGATTGGACGAGAGTCGATCACGTGTGCGGGACCATGATACGTGTTACGAATTAATTCTATGACGTCTAAAAATTATTTAAAAGTGTACTAGGGACCGAGCGATTAAACTCGGATCCGAAAATTACTCGAATATCGGAACCGAATACATTTAGCGTTCTCGTTTCTCGAAAAATCTAACTCATTTATGGCCTATATTCAAATTACTAATTTCTATGTGATTTATGTAGATTTTATAATCAACAACTGCAGCTAAAATCATATCCGGACTAACATCGCATTTTATCGGCTAAAGTCCCGATTTTTAATCTATGTCAAACAGCATCCAAAATTCACGAAATTTAAACATAGTATCCTCATCATATATATAGTCCATGGTCAAAATATCGCAACCCAATTCAACTCCTAACTTATTCATCTAGAAATTACTTCAACCGGCCAAAATATTCAAAAATTTCGTTCGCCTATCAAACGAACTCTATAAATTTCCCAACCCACATCTTAAGCCTCAAGATAACGCAACAAATTTTATAAAAATTATTTTGGCATTTTATCGCACTTATATCAACAATCAAAAAAATCAACTTCAAGCTCGTAAATCCCAAATAAATCCAATATCGCTCAAATCACCAATTCATCAATTTCATAATATCTCAATAATTACATCTAAGCCATTGGAGTCGAGTTCATGCCATTTTACCTCAAATCGACTCGAATCGAAGATCGAAAAGTCGAGAAAGGTAGGAAAAATGAAGCGGAGCTCGAACCGGGTCGAGTCTAGGGCTGAACTGCTCGATTTTAGGGCAGTCGATTCGGTCCTGGGTGCTGACTGGGTCAAAGCTGAGGCTGGGCGAGTCAACTCGGAGTGGGTCAACTCGGTGCCGAGTTGACTCTGAAACGACCGAATCTCAGGTCGGCGGTGGCTGGGAGGCGGCGCACGGTCGCGATCAGGCCAGAATCGGGGTCAGTTGCGGCGGACTCGGGTTGGACAGAGCCAAACTCAGTTGACTCGGTCTCTGGACTCGCCGAGGTCCCGCGGGTTCGGCTGTACGGGCGCGCGGGCACAGGTACAAAGAGGAGCTCGCGTCGCCGGACTCGTGGTTGCCGGCGTACGGACGTGCACAGGGACGGGCACGCGCGTGTTGCAGCTGGGTGGAGCTGGTCTCGCTCGTGAACGGGGCTGCGTGCGAGGCTCGAGCTGGGGGCTGCAGACTGGAGCTAATACGGCGCGAGGTGAGCTCGCCGGCGCGGGTTTCGCCGGAAACAGGAAGCGGTGGCCGGATTTGTGAAGAAGGTGACTAAGGAGCTACTTTTTAGGCATGTTCTTGAGGTGAAGGAGATGATGGAACTAGGGTTTGGCTAATGGGGAAGATGATGAATAGTGTAAGGGAATATGAGGATGTTGTGGTATTTATACCACGGAAGACTATGGTTTTCATATATCGGGCCTATAAAATCTTACAATCGAGCTAGTAAAATTAAATCGACTTGGGCTCGATTTAATTAACGTTGACTTAGGAATCAAATACTCGGTTAATAAAATTAATCGAACTCGGACTAAATAAATTAGTCGGTCGAATCCACTAAAATAACTGAGCTCGGATTTAAAAATCGACTTAAACTAATTACTCGATTTAATGCAAATAATAATAACAAATGCATCGAATATGGAAACTTACTATTTATGGAAATAAAGTCGAGCTCCATAAATAGTAAATAATATTTTGGGCGTTACACCCTCCTTCTGGTAATTTGTGTATTCTTTCATTTTGAAAGTTTTCAATTATGTATGTCGGCATGGGTCTTTGGTGTTGCTGGCTGCTTTTGAGATATTTGAAATTTGATTCAATTTTTTAAGATATGCTTTGAAGTTTCTTTGTCAATTTTGGGGAAGTTTTGGGAAAGAGACTGAATATAGCTGTAAATAAAGTGTTATTTTATTCTGCCTCAAGCACTGATGAGTAGTTTGCTGGATGTTGGAAAATATTGATTTTTTAAAGTGAATATCAAATCTTATGCTGTAAATTTTTTGTTGACATCTATCTCTTCTCAATAACGTATGTTTCTCCTTGAAAAATATTTTGTTGTATGTGCAATGTTGTAAACAGAAGAGAAGATAGTTGCTCCTTGGAAACTATTTTCTTCTTCATCCATTGCTCTTTATGTTCTTTCATAGATACACAGCAGCAAGTTGGTCTCCCCATGTATACTACCGAGACTGAGAGCCCTCCACCACAGCGCTTCCATTACAGCCCGACGAGAAGAGGAACTCCGCCCCCTCCACCTCAACGTTCTCACAACCTGTTGTCCAGTGCCTCCACGGTTCTCCCCACCCCAGTGCCTCCACGGTTCTCCCCACCCCACAGCCCCTGCTTCTGGGGTCTAGACGCCAGAGGTAATATTTGGTTTTTCACTGAAGATTATAAATAGCTTCATTAGAACTTCAATTGAAACTGGTCGTGTTTTTCATTTCAGCTATGGATGTTAATAGTATTTAGTTTTAAATCAGTGTTCATAAATAACAGTTCACATTTATATGTACTAATTCAACACATAAAGTTATGAACTACCGGAAATTGAGAGGTTTAGATGTTTCAGTGTCGTAACAATGTTTCTGGCACATATCAATATTTCAAGAAGCTCCAGAAAGATCAAGTTTACGGAGAGCCCTCGTGTAAATAAACCTCAAAAATACACAAACTATATATAGTGATTCGTATCCTATACAAATACAACACACACAATTTCACACTAAACCAAAAAAGGAGTTAGTAATAATAATAAAAAAATATATAAATTAATACAAATTCTTTTACATATATCATCATATCACAATATGTTCTTAGTACGCGCCACCAGTCATTCCCCCTCGCAGCAGGCAAAGCAGCCGAGGCACGCGAGGGCCCCACACAACTGGGTGAGGGCTATGGCACACTGGTCGTTGATACGGGAACACGTCTGGATGCAGCACATGCAGCAGCAGTGATTGCACAGCCTCCCGCAGCAGTTTGAGGCCGCTCGTGCAAAAACCTCGCCTGCATCCAGCTGCTTCACATCGCCCAACCCGGGCGGGATATTTTCGTGCGTGGCAGTTAGGTTGCCAAAACCGAGCCCTAAATTGCGCAGGATTAGCACCCTCTGAGGCTTCGGGTCCTCCATCTTGTGAGCATTAACTTTGCTGGAAACCTGTGAGCCACGAGGATTCCATTAGAAACAGGAGAAGGTTATAAGATAACTCCTAGATAAGTAAATTAGCACTTAGTGGCTTAGTGCTTAATTTTGTGTAAATGTACATTTTTTTTTTTCTTCTGTTTTAGTATATGGTAAAGAATATCCTAAGTTATGGATACTCAAGATTTGTTCCAATGAAGTTGTATGAAGTGCTGACATATCCTACAAAATTGATAGAATGCAGAGTTTGTATGTATATATAGTGCAGTAGATGCAGCAGGGCTTGGTTATGGACTTGTAAAATTTATTTTTTTTAACCCACGTGATGATAAATTTACATTGTAAATTTACTCATGTTGAAGATTGAAGGTAACACACGAACCTTCTTCGTAACATTTGAATCTGCACTTGTTTTTCCTCTCTGGGTCTCGAGCAAAACCATGTTTGTGTATTCGGAAACAATAGCATGCTGAATGCTCATTTTGGCAATCTGCCAGGAAAAGAAACATAGATCATCAATTCATCGTATCATACTAACTATTTTATTTTGGATTTATAATATCAATCAACTATAGAAGGAATAAGGTGAACCAATTTTAGACAGGAAAAACGCTTGCACAAAAATTTAAGCTCTGATAAGCTAAAGTGACGTTACACAGCCATCTACACTGAAACAAGTCCAGGACATGTTTGCAACTCTGAAAAAGAAAAGATCTAACACGTACCCAAATTTACATATACTAGAATGATGAAAGATTTCTTTAAGCTGTAGTGCAACAAATTATCTGGGATAATCTTGTATTTTTACCAAATGGCAACGCAACTAGTCTTTATTGTAAAATGAAATTACACAATTTATCTCACATGAATGAAATCCCAAACGTTTACATCCTAAAAGTTCATCAGCATGCCTAAGATGTCTGATGTGGTAAGAGCATATATATAGGAACTACCTTCTCCGAGAGTTCCGCACTTTCTGAAAACCAGGCCTCAGCTGTAAGAAGTTCAATCTGTTGCTTGGCCACTATCTGTGATCACAAAGAATCACTGACGAAGTGTCATAAGATGATGTCAAGGGAAGAAAAAATAAGCATTGAATCATTGCATTAAGAATCCATGCCCTTCCATAAAGCATTCCACCTCCAAACTAAATTCAATATCAATCAGAAAAGAGAAGTATGGAGATATATGGATGTTGTAATAAGTAAAACAGACAACAAAAGTAAATTTAGCCTTCAAGTATTTTAATTTATTCCGACTCTGTAAATGGATTTCTAAGTGGGGAAGAAATCATGAGGCAACCATACAGGAGATTGCATAGATGTTACCAGCAAAGACGTAACTATAGTTAAAAGATCTTCTATTTGAGATGGAAATTATAAACCTTGCAAAGAACACTCAGAATTCCTTGTTATATAATAATGATATACTAGAATACCTTGCAAAGTGCCAACACCGTATAAAAAGAACACTTGGGACAATTATAATGTTTTACATAGGAGAAGACTCACATGTACACCCACATTTATAACAGAAATCATTACCTTGCCAATTGGTATCTCCTTTGCCTCTTCTACCTTCAGGTCTATTGTAAATTTGCTCATATCTGCAAGGACACCATTGACCTTAAGGGTTTCCGGGAATGTACCGCGGTATCTTCCGGACACAATTAACGGGCTTTCAGATGAAAGATCTGGAACTTGAGAAGGAAACACCTAAAGGAATATTAAACCACTGTCAAAAAGGTGGTCGAGCATGACAAGCACAAGAAAAACACTAATTGAGGATACTGTAAGAAGTTGAACTGAATCATATGGTGTCCTAGGGTGCCACTTTCCGGAGCAACAACTATAAAAAACTCACAGCATCGTAAGTGCAAGGGACAAGGGGATGACTTTATTGTTTAGTAAAAATGAAATAAAGAGATAAATGCAACTAAACGTACCTCAAGATCATCAAGACTATCAAGATTATCAAATGTGATATTTGAAAGAAATATAGATGATGCTCGGGCAAATAGTCCTCCAATTCGAACCTCAACAGAATCTGTTGATAAAAACAAATTAAAAAGGGACTTTGAGTTTACTGAGGGAACTATAAACATAATTGGCAGTTTCAGTTTACGTTTACAAAATAAAAAATGGCTATGGTAGCAGTTTACCTAAAATAAATCCTCATTTAAGTTAAAGAAACCTATCAGCATGATTATCAATCAATATAACTTAGTAAATAAAAACTCAGCATAGGTTTTCATCAATGCTAGTTTGCTTGCCTCATGTATTATTATGGAAGCAGTCAAGCAGCTTAGTTACTCCTTCAAGAGAACGAGAATTAACATCTTGTAATATTTGCACACAAAAGAGTATTACTTACAGTAATCTCCCTTTTAATACATTCTCACAAAAGAAGGATGACTTACCCACATCGCTAACAACATCATGATATCCCCGACCAATCGTTGCAAGCATCCGCAGAAAATAATGATTGCAGAAAGAACCTAAAGTATTCAAAAATCCTGTTAACAAACTTAGAGGCAGTGTAAAAATATCTATAGCTAAGATACGAAGTATGAGACCACAATAGGAATCAATTTTTTTATTGCCAACATACTGCACTGGAATTAGATCTAACACTAACAAATGCAGGAAGGCCAGATAAGAAAATCAAGATAAGCCTGTCCTTAATAAGATTCTCAAGATCAAAGACCTGCAACCTACAAGAGTAGCTCACCATCTTTGATAGTCAAGGTCATGAATATTCTGGGTGGTTTCACTTCCTTCCTTCCTAGAGAGATATACAATAGCATTTTGATGCATTATGTGCTTTTGTTTAAAACCCAATTCTGGTTTCACTTTCTGGTGACTCAACAGCTGATGACTTGATGAGGCTGAACTTACATGAACAGGTGTGTGTGCATAGGACAACTAAAGATGGCACTTTTTTCAATAGGGTGGCAGCTGTGAAACACAATTAGACATTGGCATTTAGGAGTCAATGGAGTGTCCAGAGATATTGAAGCTGGGTTCCCCCAGCACCTAACCTTGATCACATCAGTGACTAAACTGTTCTGACCAGCATCTGTTTTTTGCCTAATCATGAACTTTGAGTCTATCTCACCAGCATAATTACTTGGAAGATAATATTTTAAGTAGATTACAACTTAGATTTGCTTCTTTACCTCTTTAACGGTATTATTCATCTTTGACGAATTTGAATCATTGCAAGTACATAGTATACGTACCAATTCCCAGTGTGTATATTCTTGGACTGACATTCTTTTGGCTTGTTAACAGACTTTTCACCATGCCACAAATATTTCTCTCATCTTCCACAGTCCCATCAGTAATGAGGAGAACAATTGGAATTGAGTTGCTACTATCTGATAACATCTTAATAGCCTGCAATGTTCAAAGCACTTTGGTTAGAGTTGCAAGCAAATGGCATCCACGTCCATTAGAACCAAAAGAAAAAGGAAGAAAAAGATGAAAGAAGAGATCCAAAGTTCATAATTATATTAAAAAGAAAAGAAAGATTTATTAATTGGAAGCTTCAAAACCATTCTTATCAGAAATTCTATGTCTATTTCACAAAGCTGATGGGTAAAAGTGATGGTAATCAATTCACAAAGTGAAAAAAATTGTTTGAGCTCAAGTTCAGGAAAGCCACAAGTCGGTCAAAAGTATAATAATTTCCTAAAAATTAAGCTGGCTATTGCCCGTAACTTCACTCAGACATTCCTGATGAGGATTGATGCCCCCTTATAAAGTAAATTCAATTGAGCTGTAGGAGAAGGAAATACAGGAGAAATATAAGAACACGTCTTGTTAGATTGTTTCACTGAATAAATACTAGTTTCATATATGTAATTCTATGGGAAGTGATATTGTCACATAGTCAAATAAAGATATATTTCCAGATGACCAGGAATGCAGATAAATAAATTGTCAATTCCTGATTTATAGACTGATGCTGAATACACAAATAGCTTTCTATGTACTTAAAGACATATTACAACCATGCCATTAAGCCCTTCCCTCGCAAAAGTTATTTGCAAGAGTTTAATGCACTAATGTAGGTTACAACCATGTTATCTAGTCATATTTCATTGACACTAATGCTTTTTGATCCATAATACACATAAATATATCATCTGCGCAATTATCATCTATGTTTACTGACATAAGTATCCGGTATCACTGATTCTGGGGCACGAATTAACCTGAAGTCAACAGGTAAATGGGTGATATCTGGGAGTTACTGAAAACAACTCCTAAAAAGCTCTCTTTGGTTCATAACAAGGTTTTAAATAGCGGGCTAAAACGTTTATGTCACTGTAGCTATAGCGGAGCTATAGCGGAGATTTAGCGGGATTTAGCGGCTAACTTGCATATGAATACAAATAGCGGCACGCTGTCAAAAAAAGCTATTTCTCAAATAGCGGCAACTTTAGCGAGCTATTTATTTCCTTGGTTCATAATTTGGGTATTTTTCTCAGGACGTGTGATTTGGGGAAGATTTTGGTAAATGTGCGTATTGGTTAATAAATCATTGGGAAGCTTAAAAGGACTGTTTGGTTGATGATTAGGAGAGCTCGTTGTCTCAGGAAAGGAAACAAATCAAAACCTAAGCTCCATGTGTCTTTTTAATGGTGACAAAATAATTGAACATGTGGAAGGATTCACAATATAAAGTTTCAGAAGAAAAAGAAAATACCTGATTTAGAGGAAGCAGAATATTTGTGTCTCCACCAGCAAGAAAATTCACATTGATCCACTGGGTGACACTTTCAATAGCTTTTGCAGTTGCCTCTTCCAGAGTTGAAGAAAATAGGTAAGTTTCCCCATTAAATGCAATTACGTTAAACAAGTCTTTGGTATCAAGCTTGGCAAGTGCGGCAAATAAAGCATTTTTGGTATCTTCAAGTGGTTTTCCCTTCATGCTACTGCTTATATCAACAACAAACACCACTTCTCTCCTGAAAATCTATACGAGTAGATGAAGAGAATTGAGCCAATATTAATCCAAAAGCAGATGACAAATAGGAAATGCCCGGTCATTGGCAAAGTAAGATAAAAACATTATGCAGTTGATGTGCATTTTAAGCACTCAGATTGCACTATCTAACAAAAAAGGTAATTATGTTTTAATCACAACCGAGTTTCAGAACTCCGTAACAATCATGACAATATTGGATTCTCAATTTACCTTTATATTATGTTGCTTGCCTGGGAAGAGGTAGCAACAGAACGCATCTCTATGATCTACATCATGTACCATTGAAGGATTCAATAGTACACCCCCAACAGTATGACTTGAAGATACCTGAAAACACCACATAGGAAAACTAAATATTTGTCCTTCAGACTTAACTTTAGCATGCATTTCCAGCATACAGACATGCACACGCAATAATTCAAATGGATTTCACATGATATTCTATTTTCTTCTCCTTTTCTTTTTGGTGCAGCAGTGTTTCATCAGATTACAGAAAGTATGTCAATGAAATCTTACATTGTATGTGAATACAAAATCAATGTTCGACCATGAAAGAACTTCGGATTCATGTAAGAAGCTCAGCTTCCCTGCTTGTCGTTGCCGTTCCTAAAATTGTCAACGAAAAACAAAATTGTAAAGAAAACATTCTAGCTTAACCTTCTCTGACCATTGGAACCAGAATTACGTGTACCTTTAAAGGATGAGAAGCTGTTCTGCAAAGAACTTCTGTCCCCGGACCAGCATTAACATTCAACTGTATCTTTTCCCGTTTAGAGATCTTCTTTGCAGCTGGAGTTACATACTCAGGGAAGCTAAATGGAACATTTAAGGTAAATTCTCCATCACGATACATTAACTTCTGAGACCATCTTACTTTAACTGATACATTGGTTCCACCATCAATCTGAAAACATATTTAGGATATTCGTCAGAGATAAGTTATGTGTCTCCACAATCCACATACACCAAAATCAATGAAGATAAGATTTTAAAGAAAGGAAATGGAAGCTTGCCTGTGGAATTTTAAGAGTGTATATATGAGGTTTCAAGAATCCTCCATCTTCAGTTTTTGTGTCCTTTTCTTTTCCTTCTTCGTCCTCCATGGGAACTAGTTGAGTGCTATATGTTTTTCTGGGCAACTCAACCTCAACACCTAGAATTGAACCCTGTTAGCAAAATAGTATACCACTTGAGAACCAAAAGATCATCAAATCACTCTTGTGAGGCAAAGGATGGCATATAACACGATCCACAACAACAATATGACTGGAGTATAACACGAACATATTCGTGTATACATTGTGAATGATATTGAAGCCAACTATGCTGACATGCTACTAAACCATCTCAGATGTTAGCAGACAATACCTTCTATATAATTGAGTGAAAACGAATTCAGAATGAAAAACTTCCTCTCCTTCTATTTGTAACCTCTTAAGTTTCTTACCCTCCTGAAGCAAGTCAATTCATGTCGACCATCATTATGTAATCGGCTTAACACGGATCAGCAAGGAACTATGAGTATAATAAGAACAGTTTGAAAGATGAATGAACAGATTGCCTTTACTTGAATGCAACTTACATATAATCAAGACGAAATAAAAGAAATTATGAGTTTACTAATTCGAAAGGTGAATGAGCAGATTGCCTTCACTTGAATG